CAAGACTTAGCGTAAAGCTGCAATAATTCAGGTAACATCGTATTCGCGTGAAGAGGGACCGATAGATTGACGGAACAGAAATAGACTTGCACGTACGTGAACAACTGATTTTTCACAAAGGCACAAAAGCTATTTAGTGGAGAGAGAATAGACTTTTAACAAACGGAACATTTGGCTATCCATATGCAAAAAGAAAACTTCAATTCAAACCACCCACCATATACAAAAATTAACTCAAAATGGATCATTGACCCAAATGTAAAACCTGAAACTATACAACTTCTAGAAAGAAATATGGAAAAACATTTTGTGACCTTGAGTTAGGCAAAGATGTCTTAGATACAATACCAGAAGTGTGAGCCATAAAAGAAAAACTTGATAAATTGGAGACATCAAAGTTAAAAACTTTTATTAGTGGTTGCCCAGAGCTGGGAATGGGGGCGACTGCTAATGGGCGTGAGGTTTCTTTGTGGGGTAATAAAAATGTTCCAAATGTTCTAAAATTGACTGTGGTGATGTTTGGACATCTCTGAATATAAAATCTTTAAATTGTATATTTAAATGGATGAATTGAGTGGTGTGTGAAATATATCTTAATAAAGCTATTATAATTTTAAAAGGAAAAAATGTAAAACTTCTGCTCTTTGAAAGACACTAAGAGAATTGGAAGACGCAAACTAGGAGAAAAATCTTTGTAAATCATATATCCAGTGAAGGATGTGCATGAAGAATATAAAAAGAACTCTCAAAACTCAATAATAAGAAAACAAATTAACTCCCTCCCCCCCCCAAAAAAAATGCCTGCCTAAGATTTGAACAGACACTTCATTAAAGAAGATGGATGGATGGCAAACAAGCACGTGAAGAGATGCAGAACATCATTAGTCATCAGAGAGAAGCAAACTAAAGCCACAATCAGATTCCACTACACACCTACTAGAATGAACCAAAATAAAGAGTCTGATGATACTGAATGTTTGGTGAGGCTGTGGAGGAGCTGGAATTCTCATACACTGACGGAGAGAATGCAAAATGGCACAATCGCTTTGGAAAAGTTTAACGGCGTCTGTAAAAGTTAAAGATACACGCACTGTGGGATCAAGCCGTTCCATTCCTAGGTATTTAAATGAAAGCATAAGTCCATAGAAAAACGTGCACACGAATGCTCTTAGCAGCTTTATTTGTAATAACCAAGCGCTGGCAACAACCCCTCCACAGGCGAGCAGATGAACAAATTGTGCTATTTCCACGCGGTGGAATGCTGCTCTGCAATAAGGAGAGATGCAGCATTCACACACACACCAGCATGAATGAACCGCAAAATTAGGCGGAGTGGAAGAAGCCAGACAAAGAGGAGTACATCCCACACGATTCAATTTATACAAAACTCTACAAAATGCAAACGCATCTGTGGTGACAGAAAGCAGATGCGGGGTTCCTGGGGAAGGACTGGAGAGTGAGGAGTCAGGGAGAGGAGAATCTGGGGGTGATGAATGTGTTCACTATCTTGATTGTGGTGATAGCATTACGGATATATGCGTGTGTCAAAGTTGACCAAATTATGCCCTTTAAATACGTGAGCTTTTGTACACCAATCATACATCAATAAAGGTGTTTTTAAAAAGTAACAGATGTTCGTTTTAACAAGTGAAACACCGCAAATATCCATGAAGAAGACGTACCTTCCTCCATCCGCCCTTCTCCAAGGTGTCCAGTGTCAGCAGCCAGTTTGGGATTTTACCAGAAATGTCTCACATTTATACCACAACACATGGATGTGGTGGGGATTATTGTTGCTTGATTGTGTTTTTTAATGGGGATCGTGCCATACAATTTCTCTTTGTTGGGGGTTTTTCCTCTTTACCAAACATTTGATGGACATCTCTTTCCCTCTCATTTGACGTGGGTTTAACTCATTCCTTTTCAATGCTGCATCATATGCTACGGTGTGAACATACTACAGTTTATATCATCTTTGTCCTAAAGATGTACATTTTGTCGCTTTCAGTTTTTTGGGTGCTTTTTTGCTTTGGTTTTGCCCACCATAAACAATGCTGAAAAAGCGTTCTTTCATATCTATTTGCATATACTGTTGTTGTTTCTATAGAAGACGTGCCCACAGTGGAATCATTGGGTCAAATGGTATGTGTATTTTTTCTTCTTAGTAGAGATTGCAAGATTACTTTCCCAGAAGGTTGTTGCAATTCACATTTCCAAAGGCATGTATTTCCCTGTGTTTTTGCCTCAATGGAGCTTAGTGTTTGTATTAAACTTTAGCAGCCTGAAGAGTGAACAATGTATCGTTTCATTGTCTTAATTTGAATTTTCCTATTAGTGAGATGAAACATTGTTTCATTTTACCCACTAGAAACAATGTGGCCATTGTATCCATATTCTTATATGTTACGCTTCATTGGGATTTACATGTGGTTTTTTAAAAATTAATTTTTTAATTAAAAAAAATTTTTTTGAGGAAAATTAGCCCTGAGCTAACATCTGCCACCAATCCTCTTCTTTTTATTGAGGAAGACAGGCCCTGAGCAAACATCCATGCCCATCTTCCTCTACTTTATATGTGGGACACCTGCCACAGCATGGCTTGCCCAGTGCTGCCTTGTTCGTACATGGGATCCTAACTGGGGAACCCGGGGCCACTGAAGCGGAATATGCGAACCTAACCCCTGCACCACCCAGCTGGCCCTACAAGTGTTTTAAAATCAATTGACCAGGGGCTGGCTGGGTGGGCAGCTGTTAAGTGTGCACATTCCGCTTTGGTGGCCTAGGGTTCGCCGGTTAGGATCCCAGGTACGGACATGGCACGGCTCATCAAGCCATGCTGTGGCAGGCATCCCACATATAAAGTAGAGGAAGATGGGCCTGGATGTTAGCTCAGGGCCAGTCTTCCTCAGCAAAAAGAGGAGGATTGGTAGATGTAAGCTCAGGGCTGATCTTGCTCAAAAAAAAAAAAAAAATTCAATCAACCATTTGAATCTCCTTTTCTATAAATTACCTGTTTATATATATCCTTTGTCTATTTTTCTGAGGAATTATCTGTTTCTTTTCAAATTGCATGAGCTTTTTGCATATTGAGGAAATCAAACATGATAAACATACACATATACACACACATACCACATCACATGCATATATACCTGCAAACACAAACATACACATGGATCACACATACACAAGCATTATATGCACATACACATGCATATGCACACGTACACATGCCTACACGTGTATCAGACACCTACATACATGCATGCACACATGCACAACATGCATACAGTGCCTCGTACCCATGCATGAGTGCGCACGCATATATACACAGACACACATGCATGCACACACACACATGCATTACACACGCACCATGGGGAGAAGGGTATGTTCCAGAGCACATTCCGGGAGGAGACCCAGGGCCTGGATGGGGTGAAGAGAGGAACCATGGGAAAGCAAAGGGCAGGGGAATGGGCTGTGGGTGGACAGGGCAGCCCCCAGACCTTGGAAAGGGTTCCATGGGCCACCCGGCCTGCTGCGACAGCCTTCTCCACCTCCGAACATCCACAGGGCCCTGGGGCCCCTGTACCGCACAGCCCAGCACCCCCCGCTGCCGCCCCTCACTTCCACCTCCCTGTCCCCTGCAAGCAGGGTGGCCGCACCCCCAGGTAAGTGAGTGGAGCTGGGCCTGCCGCCTCCCCAAGCGTGCCCTCAGCTGTCTTGGTGCGGATTTCTTCCCTGCTGATGTGTCTTTGGGGTGTTTTGGGTGAGCAGTTTTTGACATGTTGAACGGGAAATTGCTTTTTTCCCTCCTGCTCATGAGACTCCACACTTAAGACTTTAATTGCAGAAGGCTCTGGGGCTGGCGAGCGCTGGCCTCAGCCTGGCGGGTGGGAGCGAGGCAGCTCCCGGTGCCGGTGCCGGCAGAGCCAAGCAGGGAGGGTCTGGGAGGCTCCAATCTCCTCCGGCCACGGCCGCCCTGCTGCTCCTGGGGGCCAGGAGGTGCTGTCAGATGTGGGCACTGTTACTGCCAGGAGTCGCTCGTCCTTTAACTCCTGTGTTCTCAGACCTGCCAGCCCATCTAAAAAATTTTAAAAGGGACCTAAATGTGAGGGAGGGCCCACATTTCACCCCAAGTGGTAAAATGTTGACACTGGTAGACTGGCAACCGCTTGGAAATTGATACAAATAGATACACCCAAAACCACTATAAATAAATCAGGATGGAATCCTAATGTTCAAGTAATCCACAGAAAGGCAAGAGAAGACAAACAGAGGAAGCAAACAGACAAACAATAATAAAGTAACAGATTTAAGTCCTAACATACTGATAATGTACCTTAAATGTAAATTATTTAAATACACCAATTAAAAGGAAGAGTTTGGCAGAGTTCAGTTTTTAAAATGACCCAAGGATATGCTGTTTACAAGAAACTTGCTTCAAATTCAACAATGACCTTTCCCTGAGGAGGACATACAAATGCAAAGAAACACGGGAAAGGACAGCCCGCATCGGGAGCCGATAGGCAGATGCGAATTAAAACCATGATGAGATATCACTGCACACCTATCAGAAGGGCGGAAATGAAAAATAGTGACCACACCAAATTCTGGCGCGGATGCAGAGAACCCGGATCCCTCCCACAGCGCCAGCGGGGAGGAGAAGTGGCACAGCCCCTCTGTCAAACAGTTCGGCCGTTTCTGACGAGACTAAACATGCAATTAGCACATGACTCAGCAGTTGCGTTCTCCAGCATTTATCCCAGGGAGAGGCAGGCTTGCGTTCTCACAGGAGTCTGCTCCCGAATGTGCGTAGCAGCCTTCTTCTAATAGCCAAAAATCGGAAACACCCAGATGACCTTCAATGGGTGAAAGGTTAAATGGCACATCCACACCATGGAATACTACTCAGCAATAAAATGGATCGTTGACACACACAACAACTTGGATTAATCTGCCGGGAATTGTTTTGAGTGAAAAAAGCCAGTCCCAAAACGTCACGCGGTGTGTGATCCTATTTATATAACATTCTTGAAATGACGAAATTCTAGAAACGGAGAGCAGTTAGTGGGTCTGGGTGGCGGTCGGGGGGTTGGAGGCAGAGGAGGGCGGGAGGTGGGTGTGGTTACAAAAGGAGAACAAAAGAGATTGTTGAGGTGATGGAACAGGTCAGTATCTGGGCTGTGGTGCTGGAGGACCCTACACAGGCAATAGAATTATACAGACTAAATACACACACGCATGTGCGGACAAGCCAAACTGGGGACGTGTCCGTAGACGGGCGCCTTGCATCAGTGTCGAGATTCTGGTTGCGATGCTGTGCTGTAGTTTTACAAGATGTTACCACTGGGGGACGCTGGGCAGAGGGCACACGGGATCTCTGTGTGTTACTTCTTACAATACCATGTGAATCTACAAGGATCTTAACATGAAAAGGTCGATTCCAAAGATGAATAAACAAAAAATAAATGAAACCAATCAAAATTCCCTCTGGACCGCACTGAGCTCCAGTTCGGCCCTCTGTCTGCCTGCCCCAACACCTCTGCCCCCATCCCGGATCGGGATTCCTCAACCGCATTGCCCTCCGTCTGCTCCCAGCTGCCTCCAGCCCTCAGTGACCAAAGCACAGCACAAAATTCAAGGTTACGGCTTCTCCTGGGCTATCCCAAAAGCAAAGCCTGAGACAGGACTGGCTTGATTTGCAGGTGGTTTGTTTGGAAAAGCGACCCCAGGGAGAGGAGTAAGGAGGAGAGAGCGGGTGGCAGGGAAGGGGGTGAACCAGCGTGAGGATGTCTTGTGGAGTGGCTGTCGCTATGTGCTACTGGTGCCTGGCCCTGGGCGCCTCCGGAGCATGAAAGGGAGAAGCATTTGTTCATCGCAGGCTCCCGCTGGTTGAGGGTGACTCTGAGGGTATACTTAGGGGCTGCAGGTGTGTGGGTGCTGAGTGGGCTCCTTTGGGCTCCCCGACCTTGGGCAGGAATCAAGAGGAGCCAGGACTTAAAGAACAGGAAAGAGCTCATGTCCATCTCTGGCTTCTGAGCCGCGTCAGCTTCCCGTGGTGCCCTGCGGAGCCTCAGTGCATCGCACACCCTGTGGGGCCCCCCACTCAGCCTGCCCCTCAGGGGCTTCCATCCCAGCAAAGTGGCTCCATCCGCCCGGATGCTCAGCCAGGCTCTGGAGCTTGCCCCTCTTCTGCCCCTTCATCAGAGCCATTGCTAAAGCTGGCCTCTGTCCACCTCTGTCCACCCGCCCCGTCCTTGTGTGACCACTGTGTCCTGGAGCCCTGCCCAGCCTCGTGCCTCCCCTCCCAGCCTCCATCCCATTCTGCCCACCCCAGCAGGAGAGGGGCTTTTTACCCCGCAGGGCGCCGGGAGCATCCTCCTGCAGACTCCCAGTGGTGTCTGTGGCCTTTAGAACAAAATGCAATTCCATACCTCGGCCTCCAGGTCCCACCCCACACGCTCCCTCCTCTCCACGCTGGCCAGGCATGCGGCCCTCGTCCCGGCCTTGGCACACAGGACAAGCTGGCCTCCGTCCCTCAGGCATCAGCGCACGTTCCACGTCTTCAGAGGCCCTTCCTGACCAGCCGACCCGCCCAGTAGGGCCCCACAGTCCTGTCACAGCCTGGGTCGCACTTAGTAATCACGCGTTTATCTGATACAGACACTGGCAGAGTCTGCAAATGTTCATTAAGTGCCGGTTGAGCGCCTACCTGTGCCGGGACTGTGCTGTGAGCTTCCGCACACTCTCGGGCATCTCATCCCTTAGTCGCTGCCCGGGAGCATCCTTTCCACCACGCAGCTGGAGAAAACCAGAGCTCGGGAGGGTGAGCAGCTTCTCCGAGGGAGCAGGAAGCTGATGGAGGCCAGGTCTGCTCTGACTCCCAGCCCACAGGGACTAGATCCAGCCTAGGGGGAGGTACTCGGAAGCCAGGCTGGCCCGAGGCCAAGAGCAGCTCCCCCCCCCTTGTAACTTGCCATCGGGGGACGAAGGGGATGCATCCAGGCCAGGGCGAGGAGGCCAGGCAGGCTGAGGTTCCCAGGGTCACAGAGCAGAACCTCCCAAGCTTTGAAACAGACCCGCTGAGCTGGCGAGTGGGGCAGACCTCGCCTGCATGAGCCTGAGTCTCTGCGGGCCAGGCTGGCGGCCCCCGTGAGGGAGGTCCCATTGGGGACACACCCTTCATGCGCGAGGAAGGACTGTGTGTTGGGGACCGCAGCGTCTGAGTTCACTGGGTCACAAGCCAGGCGTTTCCTGCGGCCACCTCCTGGCCTGAGCAGTTGTCCTATGAGACTTCTGCCGAGGGTCAAGCTCAAAGCTGACGACCTCTCTCCCCAGAGGCCATGACTCTGGGGTCTGTGGGGGGCGCCCTGGGCTACTGGTAAAGTCGAGGGGTGGACAGAAGTGGGGCCTGGCTGAAGCCTGTGCAGTGTCCCTCCTGTGCCCTCCCCAGCACGCACCCAGCTGCTCCGGGCCGCCCAGCTCGGAGAAAACTCACAGAGAGATCGAAAGTCCCTGTGTGCCTGGCTGGTGGTGTGGAGGGGCACTGGAGGCCCCCAAACCCCAGGGGGCCAGCAGGGGCCTGGCAGGAGGAAGTCCCTGGGGTGGTGCCTGCAGAAGCGCTGAGTTCCCAAAGTACGTGGTTTAGGACAAGATGGTGGATGGTGGCTCTGCGGCCCAGTGAGGCTGAGAACTCCCCTAGGTCACAGGTCACAGACCAGGGCCTGCCACCCCCACCCAGGGAGGTCGTTGCAGCAGGTGCCGCAGCACTGCCGAGCGGGATTCGGGATTTTAGTTACAAGTGGGCCTCAATGCTCGGGGTCTTCCAGACTCTGTGTCCCCCCACAGCACAGCATCCAGGGCTTGGGGGCGCTTGGTGAAGGTCACCGCAGCCAGGACATGGATGGGACCGGCGTGTGTGTCCTGAGAGAGAGGAGACTGCATCAGCTCCACCCTGGGCCCCAAATTGCTCCAGGGCAGAGGTCCTCCAGCTTTTCCCAGGTATCTCGCTGCAAACCGAAGAAGAGAGGTCGTGCGGAAATTGCAGGCCTGCGGCCACTAGGAGCCAAGAGAGGCCCAGCCTGGCAGGTCACCTGGGGCCACTGAGATTGTCCCCGGCCTCCCCTCCCCGGCAGGTGGGGAATCCGTCTCTCTAGTTCCTCCAAATCACGGTTCACGGCCCTGCCTGTGCAGCAGAACCCCCAGCAATTTTGTGTGAAAAGCACAGATTCCGATGCAACTAGTCTGGCGGAGCCCCAGCAAGGCGTTATTTTAAAGCTCCTGGTGATTCGCAGCCCAGGCAGAAAGCTCCCTCCAGTCCCCAGCGCCACTGCAGCACCGGCCACGCCGCCGACGTCTCAAGGCCTCCACCTGTCTGTCTGTGAAACGGGAGCAGGACACCTACCTCGCGGGGGCGTGGTGAGAATTAAGGGGAAAAACTGAGACTTAGTAATGAGTGTCCCCCCCCCCCGAAGTCCCTCCCCCGGGTCATCCGAGCCCTGCTTCAGGGCAGCTGCATATGTGGAGCTGGAACCAACAGCCCTGGGTCCAAACTCTGACATTGCTGTTTTCCAGCTGTGACCTTGGGCAAAGGTCGTAGGAAGTCCCAGGGAGTTTTTAAAAATATAGACCTCAGACCCCATCCCAGGCTGACCCAACAAGGACCCTCAAGGAGCAGGATCCTCGTGTTTCTACCTGAACCAGAACGCCAGGCTCCCAAGACAGCCAGCCTGGCGCCTGCGTCTGGGGTCTGAAACTTCAGACCTCTGAGCATCTGTTTTCCTTTCTGTTAAATAGGGTGGTGACAGGGACCCCACAGTCCTAAAGGAAAGGGCTCGAAGCCCAAAGGGCGGTGACAGGCCTCAGCTTCTGCTTCCTCCCCCTGCGCCCCGGCTCCCGATCCCTCAGGGCTCTGTGTGCCTTCTCCTGGTGGCCTTCATGAAGGCACAGTGGTGTCAGGGGTGCTCCTGCCCCACTCTCCACTGGACGGCCTTCCCTGGGGTAGCGCTCCTAGCCCAGGGCCTGCCTCCACCCCGGTGAGCAGTCTGACTGGTGAGTCTGGAGGAAAGAGAGGAACATGCCTGCCTCAGCCTCCCCGTCCCGCAGTGGAATCACCAGCTGCACAGAGTACTTGGGAGCCTCGGTGCTCCAGGCCCGGAAACAGGGGCAGCTCCCAGAGCAGGAGCTGCTGCGTGAGTGATTTGTGGGTCCCAGTACAAAAAGAAAATGCGGGGGGGCCCTTGTTCAAAGATTCTTAAAAATTCCAAGACAGCGACAGCAGAGCATTAACCCGAGCAAGGGGTGCCCGTACCCCAGGGCTCAGCTGTTGACGCAGTGGGAAGTCAGCAGCAAGCCGAGGCGTCTTCTCAGCCCGCGTGCCTCTGACCCGCTGCCGCCTTGCTCCCGCCTCTCAGAGCCTTGTGTCTCAGTCTTCACTCAGTTTACGTGGGGCAAAGGGGAGCTTCTCACTGACGCACTCAAGACCCCAGCAGTCAGAAGAGACTTGGCAAGAAGACACCCTGTGCACCCGGGCCCCGACTTCTAGAACCATGGGATACACGGCCTTCCCCTGATCCCACCCAAATCCCTCCTGTGGCAACGTCGGCCCGTCCTCTGCCCCAAGTAGCGGGTACTTCCTCATGGCGCCCAAGACACCCACACTGGTCCTGCGCTCTCACTTCCCCTCTGCGCACGCCTGGAGCATGACGCTGTCATCCCGGGTTTCTCTCCACTTCGCGTCAGTAAATCCTGCACAGGTACCCACCCCTGCACCCTCTCCACCTGCACCCGGTCATAGCCACCACCCTCCCAGACCAGGTGGCTGCAGTGTTGGCTGCATCGGCCTCCCCTACCCACCCTCCAGAATGCATTTCCCAGTCGAGCAGCCAAGGTGCTCCTGCCAAGCGCTCCGGCTCTCCCTGCAGGGGACACGCAGGCCCGCCTCAGGGCCCTGGAGTCAAAGCCTCAGGCTGCGGCAGCTCCTCTGAGACAAGTGGTCCCAGACCCCAAGGACCAGTCCCCTGCGTCCCCAACTCCAGGCCGACCTTCAGTCCGAGCTGGGCTGTTTGGCTACTTGTTTTCCAACCTGTTGAAGGTCCCCCTGCCCTGCCCTCCAAGCTGAGACTCCCAGCGGTCGGAGCACACGTGCCTGAGGGCAGGCACAGGGCAGGAGGGTGGCTGGCAGAGCGCAAGACCCCTCCACCCGCCGCTTCAGTGGTCTCAGTGGGCGGATGAAGAGATGCTGCCTCCAGACACTGCCTCCAGCCCGGGGCTCCCTGGGGAGGTGTCCCCCCCAGACTTCCAATCCCGGAAAGGGGTGGGCATCTCCCTAAAGGAGGGAGGAAGGAGGAGGATGGGCCGGGGTGTGGAGGTGTAGAGGTAACCCCCCCTTCTTCTTTCCACCTCCACTCCAGAGCTGGTCCACGTGGGGGGATCTTGGGGATGAGCGCTTAAGGAGGCTGCTGGTCTGCCTGGAATCCCCCTGGGGTTGTTCGAATGCAGAATCCAAGGCCTTCCCAGCCCACGCTGTACCCGCCTCTCTGCGGGTAATCCTTACATACATCCGCGTTTAGGAACCTTGGGGAGGGCTGGAGAGAGGGGTGAACACGGGGGTCTGCCTGGTGGGGGAAGCAGAGTGAGGGACTGCACAGGGTGGGGGATGCTGAAGATAGAGACCAAGTCCAGAGCCTTGCAAAGGCCCCGCCCCTCCCCCAAGCCAGCACTTAATCCTGTCCCTGCTACTTAACCTCTCCCACCAGAGACCCGGGCACTTTAACTCCATTTAAATAAGCCCTTGAGGGCTCAGAAGAAATTGCTGCCAGCAATTCAGAAGCCCTGAGCCCTGAGGGCAGTCAGAGGCTTTCTGTCCAGCTGCCCTGGGTTCCAGGCTGTTGCCAGAAGCCTCCGCACGGCTTGGAGGCCCAAGCCTGCCATCCAGGGCAGGGGGCTCCCCTGGGAGGATGCCACCAGTACCCAAAAGCCTGGCCCAGGCCTCTTGGGCCCCACTCACTGGCCGCCTGGCTTAGCTTCCCCCAGTTCTCTTTAGCTCAAGCAAGGCGGGCCCCAGTTGGGCAGACCTGGACCCCAATCCTCTTCCGGGCTGAGAATGCTGGGCAATTACTTAGCCCAATTACTGCCGTGGGCAACTACTTCCTCTTCTGCAAAATGAGCTTCACAGCTCTTGTAAGGGTTGAATGAACGATGTCCATAAAACCCCTGGCCTGGTACCTGGCAGGTTGGAGAGGTTCGTGGCCACGGAGAAGAAGCGCTCAGTACCAGGAGTGGTGTGAGCAGAACCAGTCCCTCCAGGGCTAAGCAGAATGGGTCCCTCCAGCATCCCTGAGCCTCCAGCATCCGAGCCGCTCAGCACCCAGAAGGTACGGCTGCCAGACAAAATACAGGGCACGGTTAGATTTGAATGTCAGATACATAACGAATCATTTTTTAGTATAAGCATGTCCCAGATTTGCATGGGACGGTCATTGTTTATCTGAAATTCAAATCTAACTGTCCGTGTTCTGTGTTTTCATTTGCAAAATCTGACAATCTCAACTGCAGGATATCCAGTAACAGGGTGTTTGGCGTTTTGTTTTTTAAAATGCCCTGATGGGAGGAGGCAAGATAAGAAAGTTAAGTGAAAAACAGGATATAGATCTATAAATACACTGTCATCATTACTTGTTTTTAAATTTTAATGTGTATTCGCATGGAGAGAGATAGCAACCCAGATACAGGTGCTGACCGAGCCTGACACCGAGACAGGGGAGCTGCACAGACCCAGAGCAGGCTGGGAGGGAGTCCCCAGCAGGGTGACAAGGACCATCTCTGGATCACGAGTTTAGAGACAATTCTTACTTCTTGCTTTCACTTTTTAAAATTTTTCAGTAAACACGTATTACTTGATAAAAAAATGTATTTTAAAGCAACCACTTACGTGGAGAATCTTTTAAAAACGCTATTGCATCGTTAAGGGTGAGTGAATACAAGAAAGAAAGAAATTCATGCACCATCCTCGCCGCCTAGTACATCTTTTGCATCTTATAAAATGCACCGTGCTTCCCCACTGCACGCATCCCACAGCCTTCATCCTGTCCTCGAGGAGGCTGAGCTGCGGACATCAGCTGGGCATCAGGAAGAGCCCGGGAGCTGATGACCTGGGGGCGGTAGGGGGTTGGGGGGTCACACAGCGCTCCAGCCCCAGCCCCCCCCCCCTGCCCCCCGATCCTCCCTCACCCCGAGCTGTGCTTTTGCAGCCGGGCACTTCCTTTGGTTAGTTTTCAGTTTCCTCCCTCACTGTCAACTGTCACTCCTCACTGCCGTCTTCATGCCTGCCCCGAACAGCCATTCTCATTTCTGTATTTTCCTCCCAACCGTCCTTGACCTCCCTGGTTAAGCTCGTGTGTAACGTTCGAATAGGGAGGCTCAGAGTGAGCGAGCTCTGTCTCCAACGAGCGGAGCGGGTGACCGTTAGGGCACGGCTTCGCGCCATCCTTCTTGGCTTCCGCGGTCCCTCAGCGCGGGGCAGCTCTGCTCACCCCGAGTTCTCTGTGGGGGCGGGTCACTGACTGTGCCAGAAGTGTCTGCCGGGTAAGTGGGGCTATTGAAAAGACTCTTGGTCCCAGCTCCGAGTCTGCATTTTTTTATACATATCATCATATCCCACTGGATGAAAGAATATGGACATAGCTCGTGGAGCTGGAGGTCTCAGCTCGAATGGAGGTCACAGGACACAGGAATTGTCTTAGGTCGCAGGACCCAGTTTAGAAGGTGTGTCCGTCAGGGTTCAGGTGGAGAGAACGGAAGCCACTCTGGCTACCTTTGGCAGAAAATGAAATTTGGTGCTTACAAAATCCTTGGAGGGGCTGGAGAAGCAGGCTGTACCTGGGCTTCCAAGTGACTCCCAGGACGCCACCAAACTGGCCCCCCACTTCAAGAAGGCGGGAGACCAAGAAGACATCTCCAGAGCCACTGGCTTCAGAACACCTGGAGCAATCCAAGACTCAGCGAGCCCTGCGATCCGCAGTACCTGCTGCATCCGCACCCGCCGAGAGATAGACAGTCCTCCTCCTGCCTCTCAACACCCCCAGCCGGCGACCGGCTCCCGGAATGCTGCCCAGCATGTCCACCCCAAGCGTGAGGAGAGAAAAGAGCAGAAGTGTGGCCTCCATGTCCTTCCCGCTTCCAGGTCCCCAAGAATGAATCTGATTGGCTGAAGCTGAGCGGAATCAGGCCGTGACAGAGGAAGGTGGCGGAATGGCTGCCGAGGGCCAGCCTGCACAGCCTGCACAGAGGGTCGGAAATGGAGGCATGGGTCAGGGCAGGGCTGAGTGACAGGATCAACCATCCATCAGTCCAGGAAACATCCTCTAGAGGTGAGGGTGCCCCTGGGCTGGTGCTCGGAGCACCTGAGCCCCCAAGCCAACTCTATAGTCCGTTCCCTATATGGTTTTGGCCACATTACTTTAGACTTGAGTCTTAATTTCCTGCTAGGTAAAGTGGAGATAACGTTACTTGCTCTGTCTATGGCTATAAAGAGGATTAAATGAGATAATTAAAGTGCTTCATAAAACTCAAGTGGGGGGACCCCACGCCAGCCCCCCAGTCACTCGGTGCAAGTGCCTTTATCCCTCCTTAGGCAATAATTATCAAAGCTGATTTCCATCCATCGCCTAACCGGGCTCCAGGGGGATGGGTGAGCCAGCTCAGAGTAAAGCCGGGCTGCAGGGAGATACCTCCCCGTAGGTGAAATTTTCAGGAATTTTGCCAGCTGGTAAATTTCACGTTGGTCGTTTCAAAGGCCATGGTGGGAATATTTACAACGCGGCAATTGGCAAACAGTGTAACGCAGGGCTTTTTGTCTTCATCCCCCAGAGCTGATCATTAAACATTTACCAGCACATCTCTGATGAAGGCATTGAGGATGGGTGAAATTTCTGGAAGACTGTGAGCTTGGTGGGTCTCTACCCTGGCTGCACGTGAGGGTCACCTGAGGAGCTCTTAGCAAATCCCAACACTCAAACACCACTCCAGACGGATTGAATCAGAAACCGGAGGAAGCAGAGGAATGGGGGCAGTGAGCTAGAGAGGGTCCCGGGGTCACAGGAGAAGACTGCCCGCCAGAGTGTGTTAGCCGGCGAACCGAATGCCCTTTGACTGGGAGGTGCTGCTGACGCTGACGAGAGAGAAGAGACAAAGTCCATGGATGACCAAGGAGTGAGGTCCAGAGGCCACACGGCAGGAGAAGAGCCAGCCAGGTGAGCGGGTATGGCAGGGAGGATGTGGGGTTCCCGGCTGGGACACCTGTCTCTCAGGGGGTGGCATTTTCAGCTGGCAAGGCCTGGGGGCGTTGCATTCAGGGTGATGCCGACTGCCCACCCCTTTGCATTCACTTGCACCTGAGGACCTGGGAGGCTCAAAGGAGCGGTCCCTCAAATAATGTGTGTGCCAACCAGCACGAGCAGAAAGGCTCCACCTGCCAGCTCGGTCCCCACCGTGGGCACCGTGCAGGAGGAGTTTTAACTGCTTTATCGTCTTTGGAAAAAACAGGGCGTGGCAGTTGTACACTACATTTAAAAGTACAAAAGAGAAAAGAAGGAAAATAAAAATCAACAGACACCAACACCCAGAGGTGATGACAAGGGGGTGACGGTCCCTTCAGCAGCTTTTTGTGCAAATTCACACACACATAGACAGTGGGTGTGCGCAAACACACACACATAGATGGTGCGTGTGTGCAAACACACACAAGTACAGACAGTGCTGACCTGCACTCCCCTCAGAGCTCAGCTCCCATGTCTCCGTCAGTGGCCTGGGACCCAAACAGGCGAGTGGGAGCGGGGCCACTTCCAGTCCGTCCCAATGACACCCAGGCTCTGAGCCCCTTGGATGTGGGCCAGTCCAGCTCCTGTCTGGAGCCCCGCCTCACCCACTCGGTTTGCAGGTCGCAGGGCTTTGCCAGGACAGTGTAGATTGCGTGGATTCCAATTCGGCCCAGCTCCCCTGCTCCCAGCCATTCCCTCTAATCTCCTGGTGACCCTGGTGCAGCCCCCATCTCCCCAAACACCCTGCAGATGCCCTTGTCCGCAGCTTTTCTTTAAAGACTGCAGCCAGAGCGAGCACCTGCCCCAGGCACCCTCTCCTCCTGCTGCTCCCGAGTATCTCGTCTCAGCCTCTCTCCTGCCCTCTAGTCTCCGGACTGGCCACCCTTCTCCTTCCCAAGGTGGACCCCCATTCGAGCTCCCAGCACCTTGTTTCCTCCTGCATCTCTGTTCCAACTCCCACCCCACGCCCTCTCTCCCATCGTGAAATACACACACCTTTGCTTGACCCCTGCTGGCCCCTCCGGCCAAAGCCCTTGGGTCACCTTCTCTGTGCTGACAGCCTGCCACGGTCAGTGGTCAAGCCTGCTGCTTGAGCGCGCGTGTGTGTGCGTGTGTGCATATGTGTGTCCACCCGCATCCTTCCGTATCTCCCTGTGCTGGCTGAGGCTGCTAAAACGCTCTGTCCGCGTTCCCCTGCTCCGTCCCAGGCGCTCCTCCATTCTCCTCCTGGGTCCCCCTGATCTCTTCCTTCTCCTTATACCCGTCTTTCGCTGTGGCATTTGGTTCTGCTGACCCGCGTCCATCTCCATATCGGCTGCCCTTCCTCAGACACCCCCTCGAGAGCTGCCGCTGGCCTTTGCTCCTCTTTCCTCTGCTTTTTTGCAGATCGACCTAGTCTGTAGCTGCAACATGTTCCAGAATTCTAACAATAGCAAGGACAACAATAGGGAGTCTGAGTGTTTACCATCCTCCTGATTCTCACTCTCCCAGGGCCCTGAGAGGTGGGCCACATCACGTCCACTTCACAGACGAGGAGCCTGGGGTCCAGGACCCCATCTGTGCTCAGGGCAGAGTCAGGACTCCACCCCAGATGGTTGTTAACCATCCTGCCACACAGCCCTCCCCACTAACCACTGCCGGCTGCCCGGATCACTTCAACTGCACCTGCCCAAGGCCACGTGCCCTCCCTGCTCTGCTGGAGTTACCCCATTCTGCCCGTGTGGCTCCCGGGACCTGCTCCCTCTAACCACACTGCACCCGATTCAGGCGGTGATGGCTTCCGTCTGCACTGTTGCAATACTGCTCTCGTCTGCGTGTTCTTGTCCACCCCACCCTCTACTGCCTGGTTGATCTCCCGAAAACACTGTCAAGGGTTGAGCATGGATTGCAACACTTGTCGAGGGTGGGGCTGCGGCTTGGCTGAGATCCGCGTCTGGCCGGCTCAAGGAAAGCCTTTGGAATTCTGAAGACCATTATCCCCGAAAATGCGTGTGAGACAGAGCGGGGTTTCAGGGACAGCCTGCAGAGGCATGGAGGGGCCCCCAGAGCGGGGCGGGCTGGGAGGATCCTCCTGTCGGTCTGGGGTCCAGCCTGGGAAGGGGCCTGGGTATCCCGGGGCTGCTGGAACAAAGAGCGCACGCGGGTGTCTGTAACAACAGAAATTGCTTCTCTCACAGTTTTGGGGCCTGAAGTCCAAAATCATGGTGTCGGCAGGGCCAGGCTCCCTCCGAGGGTCCAGTGGAGGCTCCTTCCTGCCTCTTCTGGCTTTCGTGGTTGCCGGGGATCCTGGGAGCCCTTGACTGGCTGTCTGTGTCTCTGCACGCAAATTTCCCCCTTCTTATAGGAACTCCAGTCCTTATGGATTAGGACCCATCCTGACGACCTCATCTTAACTTGATTACATCTGCAAAGACCTTATTCTGGAACAAGGTCCCATTCTGAGGTTCCAGATAGACATGAATTGGTGGGGGGGGGGGGACACTATTCAACCCAGTGCTGGGGCCATCCCAGCAACAAAATAAAAGCACTCGAAGGAGGCATACAGGAGCAGCCTAGAAGAGTCCAGAAAAGAAGGAGGATGGGAAAGATTGGAGGAGGCTGGAGCTAGTGAGTGGAGGGCGGAGAGAGGAGGGGAGAAACGAAAAGGCTCTAAGGAGCAAGAACAAAGCAAGAGCGACAAGGACAAGAATGGGACTGCAGGGGACAGGACATCCTGGGGGCAGAGTTTGTGGCTGGAGAGGGGAGGTCAGTGCTGCCAGGACCGCCCACAGATGGCATCATCTCGCAGGCCCTGAGAGGGGGGAGATGTCTCCATTTCAAACAGATTTGGCATTTTCATCCCAGGCGTCGGGGTGCGGCGAACGGAGGCCCTGCCGGGAGTCCCAGCAGTTCACATCTCAGTGAGCAGCTGACGGCACCGCTCGCTCGGCTGCCCCAGCCGGGCCACCAGCCCTGCGAGAGACACATGCGCAGACCCGTCCTCAAGGACGCAGCCCTGTAATTACCCTCAGCTGCCAGCAAACAGCATCCACTGAAATGATAAGCAGACGGTGGAGGCCGGCCCCTCCCGGGGCTGCTCCAGGCGGCATCCCGCAGACACCTCGGTGGTACGTGCTGTCCGCTGACATCAGCAGCTTCCTGCCTGTAACAGAAGCCCTGACTCAGGGAGAAGAAGCCCTTCCCAAAGAAACCCAAGCTCCAGCCGCCCCCTGCCAGCCAGCCAGGCTCCTAGGCTGCTGGAAAACTGCTGTGTCCCGGGTGGAGTGAGCCCAGCAGACAGAGGACACATAATTAATGTGACCTTCCAGATGCAGAGACCCAGTGTGACAGCCTCACGGGTGCCTGTGAAGGCCACCGCCCACCAGGCCTGATCTCATTTTCTAAGTCAACCCAGGTGGACCTCCCTGGAGGATGTGGGTTGGAGGCTGTGCCCTCTGTCCGCGCTTGCTTTGGTCCAGAGGAAGCCCCCTCGCCAAGCCTGATGCCAGGTTTGACCCCACTGGGCATACAAATGACTACACGACCACTGACACTGGGTCCAGACACTGGTGCTGCCTCAGGTCCCCAGGGCTGCGAGGGACACGAGCCAGGGAAGTGACACCCGGCTCCAAGAGGCCCGGTTCCAGAGGGCTTTGCTCAGTGAGGTTTTGGAAGGTGTCACAGCTTGCCTTGGAGACGCTGTCAGTGCAGTGCCACGAGCCACACGTGGCGTTCGAACGCTCAAACGCAGCGAGCGCCAGTGGACAGCTGCCCAACGTGCAAAATCCACACGAGATTTCCAAGACGGAGAACAATGAAAATCAGGTACAAGTTCTCATTAATAATTTTTCTACTGATCACATATTTTGGATACACTGGGCTAAGAAAACATATTATTAAAATCAACTTTACCTGTTTCTTTTTACTTTCTTAACGTGGCTACCAGGAAACTTAAAATTACAGATGCGTTTCACATGATGCTTCCACGGGATAGCACTGCCCTAGACCCTCAGGATAAATGGACAAGCCCACTGGCCCCCCAGCTCCTGTGATGACGTCAGCACAGCCAGCCTTCAATCCCCGGTCCAGGCACCATGGAGTGACACTGAGCAAGTCATTTGGCCTCTCTGGGCGTCCTCCAGTCCCAAAGGGCCCATTGGGAGGATGCAACGAGGAGTTTCATGAAGTACTCAGCACCAAGCACTGTGGTCACCTATAAAGGCACCAGGGCCTAACTGAAATTCGGCCCTGGTGGTCAGCGTCACCATCTACTCCACATTTTACACATTCCTTCAAGAAGGATTGCTACACGCATGCCAGAGTGCCTGCTAGGGACAGAAGGAGACATGGGAGAAACCGCAGGCACGTCCCACTGGCCGGGTGTGCTGGTCCAGCTGGGGAGATAAGGCGTGCCGTGTGCACACAGACTTGAAAGAGTGACGTCCCCATCCCACATCACTGATGAAGTGTCACCACGAGAGCTGCAGATGTGACGGCTGCCGGGGGGAGGGGGTCCACGTGGCAGGCTCTGGCGGTTCTCAGAGCAGGCGCCTGGGGCCCAGCAGTCAGGCACAGTGTGCACAGAGTAGGCGCTCAATGACTTTTAAGAGCACGGACATGGGCAATGGGTGTTGGCAGTCCCAACTCCGACGCTTCGCAGCTGTGGGAACCCGTTTATTCGCATCTGAGACTCAGTTTTCTCATCTGTAAAATGGAGATAAGACCCAGCGTCAGGGCTCTTATGAGGGGCTGGTCTGTGAGCAAAGGCCCTCTCACCCGGCCTGGGATGTAGGGCGCGCTCGGCAGAGGGTCATCCCCTCCCTCCTTGCCCTGAAAGGGAGGGGTGCAGCCTGAGCGGGGCAGGGCCCTAAAGGGGGGCGAGGGGAGGCTGCCCAGTGGGGACAGGGCTCCTCCAAGGGAAGCCGGGGGCAGACGGGGCCGAGGAGCAAGGGCCAGGCAGCAGGTGGGTCCCAGGAGGCCCTTGGTGCTCAGATGCACGGAATAGGGCAGCTTGGGCAGGAGTGAGTAAGGAAATGGGTGTTTGGGGCGGATTTTCAGGAAAAGGAGAAGCAGAGAGGCCAGGGCTACGGCCTTCGGGGTGAGGGCTGGACCTAGGGCAGGGGCTGTGGGGAAGGAAGGACCGAGAACAGCCCTAAAAGGTCTATCTTTCCAGACCTTTCTCTGGGCACGCGTGTTTAGAGGGCAGCTGTGGGGTTTTTATGGCATCGTGCTGTGCGTCCACTGAGCGATTCTCTCATCACACCCTGCCCGTTCAGGGGCATTTTGGTGGAAGCAAACGACAGCTCTGGGGCTCAGAGCCCCTCTTCTCTGAGTGCCCCACCCTCTCAGGGCCCAGCCAGGGCCTCGTCTGCGGACTGCCTTCATCTGTAGGATGGATAAGAGTGGGCATCTCACAGGCTGGCACGAATGTGGATGAGAAGGCCTGTGACAGCCTCTGGCCCTTGGCAGGTGCTCGGCAAAGATGCACGGCCCTTCCTTTTCCACCACCAAGGAAAGGATGCAGGACTCTAGGCCAGGGCCTGCCTGGGCAGGCAGGGGCGTGAGAAACAAGGCCTGTGGCAGACGCCCCCAGGGCCGGATCGTGGTCCCGCCCGAACTTGGGGGCTTAAAAAAACAGAAGTTTCTTCTCCCCAGCTCTAGAGACCAGAAGTCCAAAATCAACGTGTCAACAGGGTCACGCTGCCCCGAAGGCTCTAGGGGAGGACGCTTCTTTGTCTCTTCCAGCTTCCAGCGGCCCCAGGTGTCCTTGGCTCATGGCTGCATCACTTCCATCTCTGCCTCCACCCTCACGTGGCCTTCTGGAGACGTCAGAATGTCTCTGTGCGTCTTCTCCTCTTCAGTCTCTTACATGGGCGCTCGTCATTATATTTGGGGTCCGCCCTGATCCAGGAGGATCTCATCTCGGGGTCCTTACTTTAACTACATCTGCAAAGACCTTTATTCCAAGTAGGGTCACATTCTGAGGTTCCGGGAGACATATTGCGGGGGCTACTATCCAACCCATTATAGTCTCCCCCTTGCCCCCCAAATTCACATCCATCCCACGTGCAAACTACATTCACCTCTCATGCCCTCTTGCATATTGTTCAACTGTCTTTGCCTCGGTTTACCCCGCAGAGCTGAGGACAATAATGACCACCTCATGCAGTGGTCGTGTGGATAACATAGGAGTGTATTTACCGGGCGCCCAGCCCAAGGCTCGGTGGGACCAAGTCACGGGAGCTGCCGTCAGACAGTCCTCAGCCCCCACCACCCCTCCCCAGCTCCACCTTCTGAAACGATAATCTCCACGACAACGGGGACTTGTGTCTGTTTAACTCACTCCACATTGTTCCACAAACCCCAGGCCCTCCTGCCGGCTGGTCACGATGTGTGGAGACCCAGGGCCTCGTCGGGGCCCAGGGAATAAAAGAGAAGATCTGGGGGCGCGGCTTCCAGCCGGAGGTGTGGGGTCAAGTCCCAGCCCTGCCGCCACCACACACAGTTGGAACCTCAGTTTACCCCTCTGTAAGTGGGGGATAAGGCAGGTCTGAGCCACCAGAACACAACCCTGCGTGCTGCCATCCTGGGCACACAACCCAGTGGGTTCCCAGCCCCCTGCGCAATCCAGCAGGCGGCTCCCCAGGAGCTGGATGGCGCCCTGGCCCCCCTCTCGTGGCCTCTTCTAGCCAGCGGCCAGGGTGGACGTTAGCCCAGCCCTGCCCAGCCGAGCCATCCAGGCCACCCCCACGTGTCCAAGGCTGGCACTGGGTTTGGTGTTAAAAGACCCCCTTCACAAGCAGTGAGCCGAAGACCCAAAATAGATGACACGGGTGCCCCAAGCCTGATTCTGCTTCTCAGAGAGCACCCTGCCCCCAACAGAGTCCTGAGGACTGCCTGGGCTCGGTCCCCTGACCGGGCACTTCCTGGACCCATATAGACCCAGCAGAGGGGTCAACTCACACCCAGGGCAAAAAGTCTCCCGCTTGCACCCAGGGGTCGCCGTTCAAGGTCAACAGGGACTGAGGGACCCTCCACAGGGCAGCAGTGACAGCTCCTGGGCTCCAAGCCCCATGGCCCCCAGGCGCTCCACGGGCCCCACATGCGAGGCTCCCGGGACTCTGGAGCCTGCGGCTGGGCCGCATGTGACGTCTTCTTCCGCAGAGAGCAGCGAGGTGCACAGCTCAGGCCCGCTGGCCTACAGGTGATGTGCGTCCCTGGCCCCAGGGATCCTCATCCTGGGTGGGGGTTCTCACTCGGGCTTGGCTGTCCGGCACCTCCCTGTCTTAACAGCAATCATAAAAACAATAAAAATAACAGTACTAGTTAACATGTGTGTGCCTTGCTCCCGCCTGGTGCTGCGCAAAGCACTTCACCTGTTCACCCAGTCAAACTTCAGGACTACCAACCCACTTATCACCAGCCTCCCTTTCAGCATGGGGAAACTGAGGCACAGGGCAACAACTCACTTCCTCAAGGTCCAGGGGGAGTCAATGGCCGAGCTGGGATGCGGAACCCTGTAGGCTGGCTGCTGGTGTCTGTGTCTTCAGCCCTCCCCTCTCTGGTTGGCATTCGAGTCTTCAAATCCGTGCTGCTCAGAGAGAGACAGCGCTTCTGAGGTGCTTCTTCACAGACAACCAGGTGAAGACGGGCCTCAGGAACTGCTAATCCAGCAGGCTCCTCCTCAAGTCCTGGGAGCTGGCCCCGTGCCCCAGGGTCTAGCCCTGACCCTGTATCTGGCCAGCATGTACTGGTCCCCTACTCCCCTGCTCAAACCTCCAAAGGCCTTCCATACGAATTAGAATCAAGTCCAAACTCCTAGCCACAGCACCGGGGCAAGCTGCCTTCCTCCTCCCCCAATCTGCTCTCCTGCCCTGTTCCCCTCTGCTCCACTTCCTGCCTTCCTTCTGGTTCCCGAACACGCCCAGTTTGTACCTGCCTCAGGGCCTTTGCACCTGCTGTCCCTGCAGTCTTTACATGGCTGGCTCCTTCTCAACATGCGGGTCATACTTCACCTGGAACTTGCTCAGTGAGGCCTTCTCTGACCACCCAGGCTAAAGCAGACTTAATGCAAACACACTGAAAGAACGAGACAAAAGGATGATTCTTTCCCACCAGCAAGGGGAGGGTCAGGGCTGGGATTGGACCAGCCCCTCCTTGCGTTCAGCAGATACAGAGGCCGGGAGAGTGGACATGATCAGTCCCAGGACACAAGGTCCCCTAACAAGCCGGGAGGACAGACAGAGAGAGCAGCGTGGGGCAGCGCCGAGGATAACGGGGCCTTTGTCCAGGGGCCTGGGGCCATCTGCCTTCAGGACAATGCCTTAGGGGTCTGGCATCCCGAGGATTTGTGCTGCCTACACGAGGCAGCATCCTGTCCTGGGAGGAGAAGCACCCCTGGGAGGGGTGCGGACGGGTGCGCCATCCACAGGCCCAAATGCCTCCTTCCTTAGGATCCCATCCGACAGCCAGGGCTCCCGGCTTCCCCACCCTGTGCCCTCATCCCTACCCCCGGGTCCTCTCGGGGCGCCCAGCACCTCAGTTTTACCGCCCGCTGTGTCCCAGGCCTGGGCCTCTCCCCCCAAGTCCTAGACTTCTTTAGGGCTCCCTATGGAGCTGACCGGGTCCCCTCAGACCATTTTATTAAACACACTTCACTTATTTACAGTAATCTCAATGCCTCCTCCGGGCTGCTCCCTGTATGAGGCACTGGTCAATGTCCAGCATTAGCAACCAGCTCTCTTGGGAAAGGAAGGAAAAAATATATACATATATATATAAAATAAATTGTACTGACATAAAGGATGTGTATCACACAATTTACAAATTATAATAAAATGTAAACTCCGTACGAGCAGGTGATTCACAGAACTCTTTCTTTCGTGGACTTTTGGCCCAACTCGTGGATCAGTAGCCAACCTGTGCTTGCAATTGACGAACGCGTGTAGTTCGGACACAAACGTTGGTTGACATTTTCATTTCAGCTGACTGGGAAAATGAAAGCAAAACAACGAAGAAGCATGTCAGACTTCACCTTTTTGCAATGACGTGAACGACTTCTTTGCTGAATCAGAAAAGATTTTTTTTAATCCTGGGAGAGTATTTCCTCAATTTTTTGTGCCATTCGCAGTGTGACGTCGACAGACACGCCATGATCAATCTGCAGCATTAACATTGTTTCCATCGCTTTCTTAACTCCAGACAATGAACAAAACAATACCTCAGGCCCCGATTTGCAGCGTTTGCCAGTTTTCGTGGTGTAAATGCTCCCACAGCAGCTGATCTCGAGCTGCCAGCAGGAAGTCACGGAACCCAGAATTGGGACCAGGTGCTCAGTGGCCGCCACTGCCCACGTCTGCCTCACACAGACTCCCTGGACCAGTGTCACCTCGGGACCCGGTAGGAGTACGATGCAGTGATCACGGGGAAGAAATGAGTTTTGAGCATTTATTACCTTTGTTCTTAATATAATTGATGTAATTGCAAATTTAAATAATTTAATTTTTAATAATGTCTGTGTTTAACAACCGGTTCACAAAATTTCTGAAAATTTAGCCATCAGCTCTCGCAAGCCAGTATGAGCCGGCTCTAGAACACCACTGGCAGGATCATCTGGTTCCTTGCAAAAATCCTACTTCTTCAACATTCATTTGACAGATATTTCCTGGGTATCTACTACGTGCCAGGCAGTGTTCTAGATGCTGGGGACACAGCAGAGAAGGGAGGTGAGGAGGGCCTGCCGTCGTGGATTTATGCTCCTCTGGGAGAGAGACAAGGAGCATCTTCGATACACAGAAGTTACTGTCTGTTCTAAGGCAAAGTCGGTGCCAGGGAAAAGAGAAGGGAAGACGAGGAGTGCCGGCGGGGTGGGGCCGTAATCACAGAGTGGTCAGGAGCAGTTCACTGAAAAGATGACATTTGAGCAAAGACTTGAGGGAAAAGGAGAGAAGCATGCAACTGTCTGAGGAAGAAAGTTCCAGGCTGTGGCCACAGCCAGTGCAAAGACCCTGAGGCAGCAGCGTGCCTGCCATGTTTGAGGATCGGTGGAGAGGTCCATGTACCTGGAGCAGAGCGTGCAAGGGGGAGAGTGAGAAGAAGGTCACAGAGGAAGTCACACAGGGCCTTGGTGGCCTTTGTAGGGCTGTTGAGCTGAGAAGGTCTTACCTCCTTTTTGCAGATGAAGAAACTGAGCCCTGGAGTCACACAGGTAGCAGTGGGAATATGCCAAGAGAATGCTGGGGGCGGGAGGGGGGCGGGGAGCAAGCTCTAACCACTCTGCGCTCCTGCCTCCTCATGGCAGAGGGACTGTCAACAGGTGTCCAACTTGTCCGGATTCCTCCCTGTCCCCCTAGCCTTAAGTGGCCATGTCTGAGGGTCCCTTGAACCAGAAGCCCTCGAGTTTTGACCCTTCTGACTGTGTGGCCCGTGGGGCAGGCAGGGAGGGGTAGAGACACTGCATCCGGTGTTAGGGAGGAGGCCAACGACGCAGTGTGCAAACCCCAGCTGGGAGGGGTGGAGCAGCTTGTGGGCTGACGAGGCCACACCTCAAAGAGCCTGCCTTGCCCCAGCCCCCTTCTAACCCTGCCCCTGCCACGTGAGCCTGGTCCTCTTGGCAGGAGCTGGACACCTGACCGGGGGGCCGCCATGAGAGTCTCCCCCAACAGGGAGGCGGGGACTGCCAGGACACTGGGCTCCTGTGAGCCTCTGGCTGTTGAAGCGGGCCAGGCTGGTGGGCTTGGGGGCCCAGAGACTGAGACCCAGCGGGCAGCAGAGCCCAGAGAGGAGGAATACTGTCTCCATGGAGGACCAGCAGATCCTGCGCCCTGAGCTGAGCGGGGTGGGACATACACAGGGCCCCCAGCTTGGAAGGGCCCCACGCTGGCTTAATGCGCCATCATCTTAAAATTGTCCCTAATTTTTGAACAAGGGGCCCCACACTTTCATTTGGCTCTGCAAAGGGGACAAGCAGCCCCACTGGACAGGCCCAGGGCTGGCAGGCAGGCAGGAACCCGATGAGGGGGTCCCGCCCCGGCAAGGCCCTCTGGATGAAGGAGGGCAGGTTCCTGCCAGCTGGCAGCCTCTTTGTGCCGCTCCAGGTCCAGGTCACAAGCCGGGGTAGGAGTGGGAGGAAAGAAACCCTGGGGCTCTGGACTATTGCGTCCTCGAAGGGGTGGGCTCTGGTGGGCTTCCTGTCCGGGAGACCCCCGCCCAGCTGGGATCCTGTCTGCAGAGCTCCAGGCCGGGCGAGGAGGGCCAGAAGCTGCTGTTTTGAAACAGACAATTACGGCCAGTCAGCTGGCCTGTTCAATACTCTATTGACAGGTTCACCTTGGCAACCTGAAGCCGGCTCCGTCCACAAGCACCTCTCCTCCGCAGCGAGCCTCCCTCCGGGCTTAAAGGCACACCTCCCTCTCCTCCCAGCCGGGCTGCAGGACTCGAGGGAGGCAGCAGGGCTGAGCACTTCAGCCAGGACAGGAGCAGAAGGTGGGGGGAATCCTCTCACCAACCAGCAGCCCCACTTCCACTCTGCGGTGGGGGCCTCCCCCTTTGTGTCCCCCCAGGCCCAGGGACGTCTCCATAAAGCCCTCACCTACCCAGGACTGGGGCCGCCCCAGCTGGACTCTCCGTCTTGACCCTGGTCTTCTCTAGGGGGTGGACATATGAACCTGGCGGTGGCAGGCGCAGGCGCTCCTCTGTGGGGTTGGAGGGTTCAGGTTTAGGGGGAAATCGTTGGTGTGCCTGCAAAGAACCAGGCATCTCATGAGCAATGTGGAAACCGCGTAGTCGCATTCAGGAGCGGCATGCACCAGCGCTACAGACTGTGTGGGACAGACACTGGCCTCGCCTTTCTGAAAACGAGAGCTGCCCCAGAGCTGGGACATGTCCTCCAGGACACCCAGTCCCCACCTGGGAGCACAAGGCTTCTTCATAATCCCTGAGGCATGCAAGGGCCACCAGGCAAGAGAGGTTCCCCCTGGGTCGGGCTGAGGAGGAAGTGGGAAGTGATGGGGAGCCAGGCTCACCCTGGGTTCTCTCACTTTAACACCCACAGCATTGCATCTGCGTCCAACTGTCTGTCTGTCTGTCTGTCCATCAAGACCTATTTGGAAAAAGAAGGCAGAAGTGAGGCTTCACGTAAATGGGAATGTATCTTTGCCGGTGGGGAACAGAGAGGGAGATGAAAAAGCCACATCAGCAGAGTGTGTGAGAGTGAGCGCTCCCAGATAGCTCAGTGTACACACAGCTGTAGCTGGTTTCACAATTCCCAGAGAGAATCGTCTCCCACGAAGGCTTCTGCAGCGAGATTGCTCTGGTCCTGTGCAATATTTCTCTGCTTCGATGGCACTCGCCATCTCCCGGCTGAACACAGAAACCAGCAATCACCAATAGCTTCAGCAAGAGAAGGGCCCTTCCTCCACATGGCCCTTCCTCACGTCTTCTTCCATGACACTCTGCCATTTCCTCGGAGCCAAAGAAAACACCAGTTTCAACAGCATGGGGGCGGGGGGTGGGTATCTATTCCTGAACCTTCCGAGTTGGATGAGTCAAGGAAGACAAAATCACCCCATTAAAATTGTTACTGTCAAATGGCAGGCAATCAACTGGCAAACACAGGCCAGATGGACCTTCGGAAGAAATCCATGGATAGAGCCAGAGCTGGTTCCGAGGCCTGCGCGACTGAACTCTTTCAATAAAAGGAGGAAAGAAAGGCAGGCTTGTGTTTCCATGTCCTGGGGTCCCCTGTTACTTTTCCATGCTTTTTATTTCCACAGCATCAGAAAGAAACCCGCATCCCAAAGTGACAAGTGGCCAAGGACACCTGTCGGCACCAGGGCACACGTGCGAGTAAGTATTCTGGACCCCCCGGGCCATCAATCAGGGGCCAACAGGGTTCACCTGAACCCCTCCACAAGGAGAGCTGGTGGACTCCATTCACTGAGTCGCCCCCGAGGTTGACACCTCTCCCAGAAGCAGGCCCACCTTCCAACTTCCATGGGCCCTGGGCACTTTGGCCTCGTGGGCCCCTTCCTTCATAAAAAAGTGTTAAAAATTAGTTTCTAAGTGCATTGGTATAAAGATGAACACATCAGTATTATATATTAAAATACTTTCTTCAATCTAAAGACTTTTTTCTGATTTTAAAAGAAATTAGACATCCATACAGTGGTATACTATTCAGCCTTAAAAAGGGAATTCTGACTCATGGCACATGAATGCACCTTGAAGACATGATGCTCAGTGAAATAAGCCAGACACAAAAGGGCGAATACTGTATGATTCCACCTGTATCTATATGCCGTGTATGTAGGATGGTGGGTGCCAGGGGCTGGGGGAGAGGCATGGGGAGTTATTGTTTGATGGGACAGAGTTCCAGTTTGGGAAGATGAGAGAGTCCTGGAGGTGGATGGTGGTGATGGTTGCACAACAGTGTGAGTGAGCTTAATGCCACTGAACTGAATTGTACACTTAAAAATGGTTAAAATGGTAAATTTTATGTTGCATGTACTTTACCACAATTTAAAAACTAAACAGCTTTAAAAAAAAAAAAAAAAAAAAAGACGTTAGAACATTTCCATGGGCCCCTAAAAGCACTGTGGCTCCTGGCACTGAGCCTGATAGAGAAGTGGATGGGCTGGCCAGCGGCCTGGGTGTGCCCACCCTGGCCCTTTACCAACCACACACTTATGGAGCTCCCCTCACCATGTTCCTTCTTCCATCAGTGTCTGTCTGAGCTCTGAGAAAAATGAATAATGAACTTTATCCGAAACTTGGGTGATTACAAATAATCTCAAGACACAGTCCAACCTTGCCTTTCTCAAGGCCACAGTCTCCATCAGAGGCGACTTGGGGTCCCTTTCCCCCTCCCGGGGGTATCTCCCAGGGCTTCAGTCTCCTCCCCGGCAGGCTGGGCTCTGAGCGAATCTGCACTGTCATATCAGTTTGCTTCCTACTGGATCCTTGATGGCAGAACAAGGGGCTTTCTGATCCTCTTGATCTGAGATCTCCTTTAAAAACCTCAAATAAAAAGATGCATGCTCCTCCTGTGCCTTCTCACTAGGAGAAGAAGGGCGCTGAGCAAGGGCCCCTTTGGGACACCAGGGCCCCTCACCACTGAGATGCGTGAGTCCTGAGCGTGCAGGGGCTCCTAAGGTCCAAAGTCGCTGTGGAGTCGGTTGTTTCTGGCTGGAAGGGCAGCAGTTGGGGGAGGGGGCGGGGGCCAGGGGCAGCCGCGCGGGGCCCCTCTGCCCACCCTCCGCTGCAGCGAGACCCCCCACTCGCCCGCACGCGAGCCGCTGCCCGGGCGGGAGAGGCGCGGAGGGGCGGCCGCAGGCCCCGGGCGCCGGCCAGCCCGAGGGGAGCTCGCCCCCTAGGGGAGGGCGGAGCGAGTGCAGGCTCCTCGGGGCCCCTGCCCAGGCCCCGCCTGGACGCCCGGAGCAGGCAGGTGAGGCCGCCGCCAAAGCCCCCCGGCAGCCGAAGGGGATCCCTCGTGGGTCGTCAGGGGCCCTCCCAGGAAAACGGCCCTCCGGAAGAAGCTGGGGAGGAGACTTCTTGGGCAGACCTGGGGGATCTTTCCGGAGGTGGGGTGGAGAGGACACCCACCCACTTCTACCAGGATTCAGTGGGGTGGGTGAGGGGGGTGGACTGGGTGAGACGTCCGACGACCTCGTCATCCAGGGGTGGGGTGGGAGTGGGGTGGGGCTGGGGCGGGGAGGGGGCCTGGACATGGAGGGACGAAGTTGCGCTGCAGCCAGACTCAGCTCCGGAAGTGACCAAAACGGGGGCCTGATACAGACAATATGGGATTTTGGGGGTGCCCGAGGCGTTACCACCCGCCCCCAGCCCCCACAGTGCAGGCCGAGCTGTGCTCTGGCAGGGCCCTCCCGGCCGCCATCACACGGTCACCGGGTCCCTGAGCACCCCCTCCGTTCGCCCCTCGATCCTGCAGGGACACCCCCGCCCCCCCGTGTCCAGCGGGACTCGCCGCGCTCCCGCCCCTAGGGATCGATCGGCTGGCTGGCGACGCGCGGCTACGGCTCCCGAGCCTCCGCCCCCTCCCTGCTCGGGCTACGCAGGACGCGGCCTCCGAGCAGCGTCCTCGCGGTTCCGGGCCGCGGCCAGACTCGGCTCCCGGCCAGCCGGGGAGGCGGAGACGCACCAGGCCTTTCCGATCGCGCCCGCCCCGCCACTCCGGGGCTGGTGGAGGGAACGAGAGCGAGCCCAGCTTCCCCGGCCCGCGGCTCTCGGCACCCCACCTCGCCCCCGCTCCTCCCCCTCGCCAAATACCCCCTCGGGCGCGCGCTTAACCCTCGGCGCGCCGGGAGGCCAGGAGGGGGGCGCGCATTGGGCTGGGGGGAGGGTGGGGTGGCAGTTGCGCTTCGGCTGACGACCACTTCGGGGTCCGCCCGGCGATTTTTATTTGATTCTCGGATTTGCTGCAGCAGCTCTTGGTTGGAAAAAGGAAAGAAAGAAATCTGCCCCGTGTGTGGGCCCCGCTGGGTTCCAGGGCGCAACAGGGGCACCAGAGAGCAAAACGCAGGGGCGGGCGTGTAGGGGCGAACCTCAGGGGCAGAGGAGGACCGCGGGGAGGCCGTGGGCAAACGAATCCCAAATGAAAAACACACAGCACGCAGAGGCCGTTGTGAGCGCGCGGCGGTGGCGGCGGGCAGTGGAAGCAGCTCCAAAGATCATATTTGAAATATGGATCCCCGGGGCGCGTATCTCCAGGCCGGCCGGAGCCCCGCGACCGAGCATGGGGCGGGGACCATGTGGGCTTCTCCAGGCGGGCCTGGGGAGGCTACCCTGACGTTGGGAGGGGTTGGGCCAGCCGACGTCGTAGAAAATGACGCGTCTCGCTTCAGTGCCTGCGACCCCCGCGTGCCGCAATGCGGAGGCGCGGCCCTGCGGGCGCGGGTGTGGCCCCAAGAAGTGCCCCGGACCTGCCAAGGGGCCAAGGCCTCGCGGCGCTCTGGGCCCGTTGCCCCGCCCTCACACTCTGCCCAGCCCTCCCACCTGGAGCAGAGGGACGCGGGGGTGTCAGAGGCTTGCCACCTAACTGAAAGCCGACCCTTCGCAGGCGGTATGACAAAGAGCAGAAACATGGGGGTGGGGACACAGAGGGCGCAGGAGCGCCCTTAGGAACAAAGCCCGCCCTCTGAGAGGGTGCAGAGGGCGGAGTGCAGGGCTCTAACACAGCCTCCCGGCTCTTCTTCCCCGCACCCCACGCACAGTCCTACCAGGTCAGCTCCCCCAAAGCCACCGCTACAAATGCAAAATTACAAACGTCAGTGCTAAAGTCAAAGACAAGTTTCCCTACTGAGGACAGAGGAGAGAAATGAGCTCTTGTCAAAGCCTGGGCAGATTTTGTCGTCGTTGCTAGAAAATTCTCCCTCGGCTACTTGAAATCCACCTCCGGGGTCTTGCAAAGCTACACCAGCTTGAGAGCTTTCCTAGTGAGGGACTAGCCCGGGTAGTCACAGGCAGCCCCGTCCAGGCAGAGCCCAGACCGCGGCTCCGTGGGCGGGAGGCGGCATCTCCTTGCAGGAGGCGACCATTCAGAGAGAGGATTTAAAAAGTCGTTTATTTCCCAGGTTGGCACGGGTCAGGCCCCTTTGGAATACGAACTCCCAGTGACCACTCTCTGGTTCAGGGCCATTAAAAAGTTCTTGGCTTCTCCAGGGTCCACTTTTTCGGCCCTTTCCTTTCTGGGCGGGAGCCTGCGGCTCTGAGAGATGGCATCGCTCCTCTCTTGGGGCCCCTAAGGGCCCCTGGGGGCCCGAGCCTGAGATGGCACCCCGAAGGCTTCTGCCCCTCAGCGGAACCGAGGAGTGCGATCCGACCCTAGGGGGCAGCATCAAATGCGCAGATCCCCGATCCTTCTGCGGGGTTCCCCATGGGGCTCGGGATATCCCGGGTCGGAGGCAGGGGCCCAGCTGAAGGCTCTGGGAATCCTGAGTTTATGGCTCAGAGGGACCAAGACAGGGGTGGGATGGTAGGGGAGGCCGTAGGGGAGATCTCCCAGGAGGGGCTGGCGGGGCGCATCAGGGAAGCTTCCGGGGTGCTCCCCCCTCCCCCCACCCCTTCTGTCTCTGCCTCCTCCCTGCAGCGCATTCGTGCCCCGGCGGACCTGAGCTCCTCCCCGCGCCCGCTGGCAGGTGAGGGGTGGTCTAGGGCCAGGCCGCCGAGGTGAGGCCAGGACTCTAGGAGTCGGCCTCTCTCCATATCCGCCCACCCGCCGCGAGGACAAAATAAATAACCGCGCGCGGAGGCGAGTTGCCGCGCTCGGCGGGTGCTGGTGTATTTCGGTCTCCTTCCGCAGAAAAGTCAGGACCAGGGGCGGCCGGCGACTCCCCGGGCTTCTAAGGAGCCTTGGGCGTCCCTTCCCGCAGTTTTGGGGAGCCTGGGGGCTGCTCGCACACCACACGGGCAGCTCCAGAAAAGATCCGCTGTACTGGCCGGCGGGAACCACCCTTCCTCCCCAGCTCGGCGGCGGGCCCAGCCCGCCTCCTGCGCAAACTCGCCGTCGAGGCACCGGGTGCCGCCGCGTGGCCCCCAAGATCTGAAGCGCCGGCCCCAGAGGGGCGCGGGCAGAGAGAGGGAGCCACAGCCTGCGGAGTCCGACGCCCCTGGCGGCGCGGAGGCTGCAGCGGCCGCTCACCCTCCCCCGTCGCCCCCTGACCTGGAAGCCGCGGAAACACCCATTGGAAACAGATTTTCCAGGGGATTTCTAGCGAGGGGACGGGCAGAGTGTGGGGAAGCTCAGACCCTCCCCGGACGACGGGACTATCCAGGACAAGGTCGCTGCAGACCTCCCAACAGAACGACAGCGCCGACGGCCTGGAACGGTGACTGATGCGCTGACAGCGCGTCCCGTGCCAGCCTCGAGCTCCCTTCCCCTTCCGCGCTCGAGTTGTCCCATAAGAGAGCTCCTTGCCCTGGGCAAGAGTGTCAGGAAGAAGTCCAAAAGCACAGCAGGAGAAGAAAAACCTTTTCCCTGTTTCCCCCTCCCAAAGACTTCGCCTCTGCCAGCTTCCATAACGCCCGAGAGCCCCCCCCGCCCCTCCCCCCTGTCCCCAGGACTACAGGCAGACGATGTCCCCACCTAGCCCTGGCCGCGTTCCCCCCTCCTCTGGGAATCTTGGGTTTGCACCTCGAGCTTGTCAGAGAGCTGTCGCTGCAGACAGAGCCCCTCTCTGGTGCTGCCCGAAGAAGACCCCCATTCCCAGGACCCCTTCAGGGGAGGAACCACGCGAGTCGTCTTGGGCAGCGGCCCGCCACTGCAGCAGGAGCCGCCGCCGCCGAGGGAGCTGAGAGGTGGTGCCGAAATGGTGGAGTCAACGTGTGCGTCCTTAAACACCAGACAGTCTCCAGGCTCCTCTCGGATTCCTGGGAGAACACGAGCCCCGCGCATGTTTTGAGGGTTCGCTTCCGTACCTCGCCCCTCCCTGGCTCTCTCGAGCTCCCGCGCCGTCCCCACCTAGCATTCCGGGACGTGTGTCAGGGCGGGAGCGGAGACCCGGATGGCTCTTTGCCCGCCCCCCTTGCTCGTTCCACTCTCGCTCGGCTTTTGCTCTTTTTCTTTCTTCATGGACACTCAGCCAAGGGATTGCGCAAGCTTCCTGCTCCCGGGGCTTCAAGGGCCCGGAGCCGGGGGCCCGGACACACCCCAGGGCAGGCGCGCCCCTGACCCTCCCACTCGGGCAGCCCTGCCCCCTCTCCAGGTCCTCTCGCCCCTCACCCCGACCCCACTGAGCTCCGGGCCTCGCGGGCGGCGCCCTCGGCAGGCCGCGTGGGGCGCAGCAGCTCCCCCAGCCGGACGCTGGAGCGGCTCACCGGAACGCGCCGTCTCGCCGCCGGAGGTGCTAAACTTCACACTCTGCGGCTTCTCGAGCCCCGTCGGGAGGGCCTCCGCTCGGCTGCCTGTCGGCGACCAGGGGACGCGAATTTCTGACGAAGGCTGGGCTCCTCAGCCATTCTGTTCACCTCCCCTTCGTGCCGCCCCAGTCTGCCCCGGCTCAGCTTCAACGTCTTCTAGGCCCTCCCCGCTCGCTCTTTCGATGCCCCTCCTGGGACTCGACGAAGTCCCCTCGGGTCCACAAGCAGACCTGGACATCCCCTGTGCCACCTCTCTGTCCTCCCCGCCTCTCATCCTGCTTGGCCGGGGCATGGGGGGTGGGGATGCTGCTAGAAACTAGACATCGCGCACTCGCCCCGCCAGGAGAGGGCCGAGGGTAAATTAGGAGCCATCATGATCCGGGGTGGGATCGGACTTGGAGTCCCCTTCTAGTAAGGTTCTTGAACGCTAGGGCCCCAGACTGGCTGCTTTTGCGTCCCCTTCCACGTCTCTGCGCTCTCCCTGGCGATCCTTTGCACGCAGTTCTCTCTCTTCTCTCTGCCCTTTCTCTTCCTTTCCTTGCCTTCCTAAATGCCCAAAACCTCGCGGGGCGGGGCGGCGGGGCACGGAGGGTGGGGGGCGCGAGTTGCCCCTGTCCCCCGATTCCGCCCCCTGCCGACCATTTCCCATGCGTCTGCACATGACGCAATTCGGTGCAACTGGGAACTGTAGTGGATGCTTCGGTGGCCCCCAGTCGGGGTCCCGGGCGGTGCACACTGAGAACCAGAGGCGAGGGCGCAGGCCCAGGCACTGGGCTGCAGGCGATGGGTCGCCGCTGAGACCCTCCCGGCCCTGTCAAGCTCTCCACCCCTCTCCGCCTGCTGCCGACACACCTCTCCGGCCCAGTCCCGCTCCCTCGCTGCAGCCTCCCTCTCCCAGGCTCGCGGATCCCTCCCCCTGCACCTCCCCCGCGCCCTCCTCCTCCCGGCCCCCTCCCGCGCCCTTCCTCCTCCCCCCGCCGCCCAGGCCGGGGGCCTCCGGTAGGCCCGGCTGCGCCAATCCGGGCCGCGGCCCGCCCCCTGACGCCGAGCTGGGCCCGGCGAGGCCCCGCCCGCTGACGTCCGGATTTGCATGAGTTCTTGTGCAGCCGCGGCCCGGGCTCAGTTGTCTGAGCGAGCGCGAGCCGGGAGCCGGGGCGGGCGCGGGCAGCGGCGGGCGGCCGGGCTGTGCTGGGCGAGCGGCGGCGGCGCGGGCGGCGCAGGCGGCGGGGGCGTCTCGGCCGGGGCGGCAGCGGGGCGCCGGCGGGAGCCAGCAGCGTCTGCAGCCGCGCCGGCCGCCCGCGCCCCGGCGCGCTCCGGCTCGGCCATGGAGCTGCCAGCTGTTGGCGAGCACGTCTTCGCGGTGGAGAGCATCGAGAAGAAGCGGATCCGCAAGGTAGGGCGGCGCGGGGGCGGCGGCGAGGCGGCGAGGGAGCGGCGGCCGGAGCGGCCCGCGAGGAGGCGGGGAGGGGGTGGGGAGGCTGCGGGCCGGAGCCGGGGATCCCGCGGAAGCTGATGGAGTGCTGTCTCTTTCCCCCTCAGGGCAGAGTGGAGTATCTGGTGAAATGGAGAGGCTGGTCCCCCAAGTAAGTAGCGGCGGAGGGGCGGGGGAGCCGGGTGCCGAAGCGCGGGGCTCGCGGGCTCCGGACCCGCCGGGCTGGTGGGGTGGTGGGGGGAGCGGACGGGAGGCGGGGTGGAGGTGGGGTGGAGGGAGGAGGGGGTGGGGAAGTCGGTGGCAGGCACTGGGGAAGCCGAGCCGCCGAGCCCGAGCCCGGCGCCCTGTGTTGTGCTCCGCTCTCCGGGAAATGCCATCACTAATTTATGCACTAAAAGGAGCCGGAGGAGCTGGAGAGACGCGGGGCCGAGCCGGGGAGGCCGGCGGAGGGAGGGAGGGCGCAGGCACTGACTGATGTACAGCAGAAAATGGCTCCTTTCCCCTTTCCCTCCACCGAACGGCTCCATATTGCAAAACCAAAAAAAAAAAAAATTAAAAAGCGACGAAAATGCAATTGTGTGCCTCTTCCCTCCTGGTGGTGCAGGGAGAGGAAGGAAAAAGGCAGAAAATGTTGGGAACTGTCACTGCGGCGCTTTTGGTGGGGAATTTTTTTTTTTAATTTGAAATGCGAAGGCACCGGATGGAGACAGACGCGCAGGCACACGCACACACTCACTCACACACACAGAGAGAGGCATATTTTTGTGTTGCTGAGTATTTGGGGGTGCTTGCCCGTGACAGGGGGCTCCAGGGCCGCCAGGGGGTGTAGGGGGGGCCTCTTGGCTGACGGTTATCGGATTAGGGGTCAAATGGAGAACGGCTGAAGCCCTCGCGGAGACTCGGTGCCGGGGAGAGGAGGAGGGGACTGCGACTTTGCCTTTCGGCTGCTTTGCACGCAGGGTTCCTGGTGAGCGAAGTGGCTTTGGAACATGTCGCAGTAACATGCTTAAAATTCTTGACAACTGCAAAATAAACGGCTAGTTTCATTTTCCTTACCCCTCCCCTTTCTTCCTGCCCTTGTGTGTTTATTTTGACTTGGGGGGGGGTGTCTCAGGGACCGTGTCAGGCCTGCAGAATTCTACCCTCCACCCCCCACATCCACAGCTAAATAGCTTTCGGTTCATGAAGACAGAGTAGGGCCTTATGTCATTCCCCACCTGGAGGCCGCAAAGCTGGCTCGGTTTTTTTTACGCCGTGTCCCCCTCCCTTTTCCCTTGCAAGATATAACACGTGGGAACCCGAGGAGAACATCCTGGATCCCCGGCTGCTGATCGCCTTCCAGAACAGGTGAGCGTCCCCCGAGCCGCCGCCGCCTGCAGCCGTGACCGTATATGGGAATGTAAGAGTGGGCCACGCAGCAATAGGAAAGGGGGAAAGGGCCGGGAGGGGCCCGCCGGGAGCCCCCTCCCCCTGACGGGCCAGAACGGGCACGGCTGCGGCCTCGGCTCCTCTAACCAACGTCCTTGGCGGTTGCTGCAGCCTGGGGGTGGGGGCGGGGCAGGGCCGGAGAAGGCGAGGCTTGTGTTTTGGGGGAACTGCGGGAAGGGTGCCTGCGGGTGGCCCCACAGCTGCCGGGAGAACTCGGGGCTGCTCCTGGCTCCCCGCGGGCCCCCCTCCGGTCTCAACCTGGGGGCCCCACCCCCGGAGCCTAGGTGTTGCTTTCCTGCAGCCACTGGCCGCTTGGCACGGGCACCTCACCGGGCAGCTCCAAAGGAGCTGGCATTGTGAAACCGCCGGACGTCACGAAACTGAACTTAACCTGTTGGGGGCTGGAGAAAAGTTGACGAGGCCTTAAGCCCCCTCCCCCAACCCCCCAGGGAGCTTGGGATCGATCGGCAGGGGACAGATCCTGTCTGGAGCTGGGTGCCCTTCACACCCCCCACTGTGCCACTTGGTGGGTATCGGCCCCCCACTCTCAGGGCCTGCCTGCTTGGCCCAAGGATGTGGATGGGCGCTGCCTCGTGGTGGAGGGGTGGCTTCTGATGAGGGGCTCATCCTCGTGCGCACAGATGCTTGTCACGCTGCAGCTGCTGCAGCTGGATTCACCGCTGGTGGCTGTGGTTCTCTGTTTCGGGGGGAGGACAGAAGGGGGAGGGCGGGCGAAGAGGGGAGGAGCGGCAGGAGCTCTCAGAGCTCGGCCACCCCGCTGCCCTCCTTCCCCCCTCCCACTTTTATTTTGCATTATTTCCTGTGGCGCGTTTGGCGCTAAAACTGTAAACTCTAGACCCTGGGAGCAGCCACCAGCGGGGAAGTTGCTCTCCCGCGACGCAGGGGGGCGCCGTGAAGGGCTCCTGCCCCAGCTCCACCTGGGAGTTCACCACTCTGTAACCATGTCAGCGGCTGATGCCATGTTGCATAATGGGTCCCCGAAGAATTAAAATGCAGGCTGTTGCAATGCCATGCAACTTTGGAGTCAGGCCCCGGCCCGGAGTCCCCGGGCATGGCGGAACTCCCCTGGGTTAGCCCACGGCCAGGGGGTGGGGGTTTCCTAGGGTCGCTAGAGAGCGGGTTTCTGGCCTGGGAATGGGGGCCAACTTTGGCCAACGCTGGAGAGGCACCCTCTTTTCCCATGGAGGGCTGGGCAGTGCTGAGACAATCTGCCCCCTAGCCTCGGGTCATCCTCCGCCAGGCCGCAGGGAGAAGTGTGGCAGCTGTATTACTCGCGCCACCACCCGTAGGCTTTATTAATAATTTGGAAATCGAGGCGGCGGGGAGCCGGGCTCGGTGAGGAGGCTGCGTGTCTGCGCGCCGCCCCCGCCTCGCCCCGCCCCTCCGCCCCGGCTGCGACCGAGCTGGTTCACCAGGTGGCCGCGAACCTGGCCAGGCCCTGGCCTCAGCGGCTGGCCCCCGCCCCCAGCCCCTAATTGGCTCATTTGCCGCTGTGTAAACAAGGGCGCAGCCCCTCCCCCTGTTTAGTGCCTGGCCTTTAAGAAAATGAGTCCTCCCTTCTGCCGGCGACACTCGTTATCTGAATCTTAATGAGGTCATTAGCATCCTGTGCCTCTGATGGGGAGGGACGTGGTCCGCGCACACCTCTTTTGGACCTGTTTGCGTCCCCTGCACCCCCACACACGCTCTCCTTTGCACAGGGCCAGGGGCCCAAGGCTGTGGGCACCAGTGCTGGCGACCCAGCCGCGAGCTGCCGCCTCCCCGGCATAGAAGCAGGGCTGCGGGGGCTCCAGATCAGATGCTGACATCAGAGGTGGGGGAGCCCTTCGCAGAGGACCCCTTGGGCAGATAAGGGTCTGTGCGAGCATAAAGCGGGGCTCTGGGACCGGAATGAGGCGCCCAGCTGGCGGCAGAGGCGACCTTCTGCCCTGAGCTCTTGATCTCTCTCGGTCTTGCTGGTCTGGCTGTTCGCTGCTCCTGAAGGGGGGGGGGGGGGGCGTCGCCGCAGGTTCGGGGCATAGCAGGAGGGGAGGCGACCCTGAGGCTAATAGCGTTGCCCTCTGTTCCCTCCCCTCAGGGAACGACAGGAGCAGCTGATGGGATATCGGAAGAGAGGGCCGAAGCCCAAGCCTCTGGTGGTGCAGGTGAATGCGCTTGCTGGCCCTGGAGCCACTCACCCACGAGTCCTTCCCTTGACTTTGCCACCTGAGCTGCCTCCAGGCCCAGAGGGCAGGCGGGGGTGGGGGGCGGGGAGGGAGCTCTTCCTCCGGAGCACCCAATTCCACCTCCCTTTTACTTGACCTCCCACACCCTGCCCACCATAACACAGCCGCAGACCCAAGGGGTGCCGGGACTGTCCTGTATTCGATGCATGCTCTAGCCCTGGCCACATCCCTCCTCTCACCTCCTCCTGCCCCGCCCCCTTCTCCCAGGTACCTACCTTTGCCCGTCGCTCCAATGTGCTGACCGGACTCCAGGACTCCTCTGCTGACAACCGCACCAAGCTGGAGCTGGGCACTCAGGGCAAGGGTCAGGGGCACCAGTACGAGCTCAACAGCAAGAAGCACCACCAGTACCAGCCGCACAGCAAGGAAAGGGCAGGCAAGCCCCCACCGCCGGGCAAGAGTGGCAAGTACTACTACCAGCTCAACAGTAAGAAGCACCACCCCTACCAGCCTGACCCCAAGATGTACGACCTGCAGTACCAGGGCGGCCACAAGGAGGCGCCCAGCCCCACCTGCCCGGACCTGGGCGCCAAGAGCCACCCGCCTGACAAGTGGGCCCACGGCGCTGGAGCCAAGGGCTACCTGGGAGCCGTGAAGCCCCTGGCCGGTGCGGCTGGGGCTCCAGTCAAGGGCTCTGAGAAGGGCCCCCCCAACGGGATGACGCCGGCCCCCAAGGAGGCAGTGACGGGCAACGGGATTGGGGGCAAGATGAAGATCGTCAAAAATAAGAACAAGAACGGACGCATCGTGATCGTGATGAGCAAGTACATGGAGAATGGCATGCAGGCGGTGAAGATCAAGTCTGGCGAGGCCGCCGAGGGTGAGGCGCGCTCCCCCAGCCACAAGAAGCGGGCCGCTGAGGAGCGCCACCCCCCTGCAGACAGGACTTTCAAAAAGGCAGCGGGGGCAGAGGAGAAGAAGGTGGAAGCGCCCTCCAAGAGGAGGGAGGAGGAGGTTCCAGGGGCTGGTGACCCGCAGCCCCAGGACGCTGGCTCCCGAAAGCTCTCCCCGACCAAGGAAGCCTTCAGTGAGCAGCCCCTGCAGCTCACCACCAAGCCGGACCTGCTGGCCTGGGACCCCGCCCGGAGCTCGCACCCACCCTCTCACCACCACCACCACCACCACCACCATCACCACCACCACGCCGTTGGCCTAAATCTCTCCCACGCGCGCAAACGCTGCCTCTCGGAGACACACGGCGAGCGTGAGCCCTGCAAGAAGCGCCTAACGGCGCGCAGCATCAGCACCCCCACCTGCCTGGGGGGCAGCCCGGCCGCCGAGCGCCCCGCCGACGTGCCCCCCGCCACCGCCCTGCCTCAGCCCGAGGTCATCCTGCTGGACTCGGATCTGGACGAGCCCATAGACTTGCGCTGTGTCAAGACGCGCGGTGAGGCCGGGGAGCCGCCCAGCGCCCTGCAAGTGAAGCCCGAGGCGCCCGCGGCGGCAGTGGCGGCGGCGGCAGGGGTGGTGGCAGCTGCGCCGGTGACAGCGGCCGCCGAGAAGCCTCCGGCTGAGGCCCAGGACGAGCCCGAGGAGCCGCTGAGCGAGTTCAAGCCCTTCTTTGGGAATATAATTATTACCGACGTCACCGCGAACTGCCTCACCGTCACGTTCAAGGAGTACGTGACGGTGTAGCCGGAGGGTGTCGGAAGGGGAAGCGCCATCCCAGCGAGGGGTGTAGCACCTGGGGCCAGCGGGCGGACAACTCCTCTCGCCAACTGCGGGGCATCCGAGCCGGCTCCCAGGGCGTGGATGCCCGAAGCCGCGGTAACCTCTGCTTGGGGTTTTGGGATCCTGGCTGCGGTGCCTGGCCCGCCTCCGCCCCGGCTCCTTCCACACGGTGCCTGCGGGTCTCGCCCCCGACCTGCTCCATCCCCGCGCAGGACGAGAGCTCTGCCCCTCCTCTGCCTCGTGGACCTCCGGGACTGACAGAGCAGCCACGCGCGCGCGGTCTCAGAGTTATAGTATTATATTTTAACCGTGCTAACTTGTCAAGTGCAGACTTTACTCCCGTTTGTACGTGGTGTTATTATTGAAATGTATTGTTTGAGCTCAAAAGGCCCGACCACCCCCCTTCGGGCTGATATATATATATTTATTTGTAGGTATTTATATATTGAAATATAAAAACCTAGATTTATGGAGTTTCCTCTAGATCATGTTATATTCTATATCAGACGAACTATTTTCTGTTGATCTTTCCTCCCATTCATTCAGTATTTCAGCTGATTTCATTTCCTCCCCTTCCAGGAACTGCAATACCAGTAACCTTGGTATATATTTTTTGATACTGTACACATGGATGTGTTGTTTCTATGTGCAAAAAAAAAAAAAAAGTTTGTTAAAAAAGCTAAAAGAGCTCTCTAGAAACTGCTGCTACTAGAAATGTCTAAACTATAAGCTTCCAATTATTACCTGCTTGAATGTAAATATTAAATGGAGATGTTGAAGGTGCATTTTCGCTGTTTGAGATTAGCTCAGAGGGAGTGGCCCGGCAAGGCTCGGGACGCGCCGGAACCCTCTCCCCACCCAACTTCTGCCTTAGGTCTCAGGGAGGGGACGTGCGCGTCCTGCTCGAAACCTTTGCCAAAGCAGAGTGGACTGGTTCCGCGGGCAGAGGCGCCCGCGCCGGGGGAATGACCTCGCTCCCCGGAAGTCGAGAGGCGCGCCAAAGGAGAGGGGAATTCCTGCGGGGGGCCGTCCGCGTCGCCCCCGCCCCCCGGGCTTTCGGACCGCGGTGCCCACGGCGGGGGCAAACCCAGGATCTGCGTCGGGAGGAGGGGTGCAAGGGAGAGCGGGCGGTGCGGGGGATGTGGGTGGGGCTAGCCCCCCGCGCTGCCCCCGCCCGGCACCTGCTGATCTTTGCCTGCCACCCCCCAGGGCGCAGCGCACCCAGACGCTGGCCCTGGTGGGGCAGGGGTGCTCTTTCCAATAATTCCTGCCCCTGCCCGGTAGGGCAGGTTCAGCGGGGAGGGCACCCTCCCACTCTCTCCAGCGTCCCTTGCTGGCATCGCTGGCCCCGCCCCCCTGAGGAAGCGGCCGAGGCTCTTTCTCTGCCAGGCGCTCTCCCCGGAAACCGCCGGGCCAGAGGCTCCGACTGGAGGCGCAGCGAGCGTGGCCGGGGCAGGGGGGCTTCCTGCGAGGGGGAGGGGGAGGAGGCCTGGCGAGTGAGGCCTGCCCACCCCCACTTCCTCAGTGAGCAGGGAGAACTGGGACCACATCTCACCCATCCTGCTTTGGGTGGCAAGGCTGGGGCCCTTGGTGTCGCGGGGCAGGAAAGAGTTAAGGGTCCAGAGGGGGCGAGCGGAGTGGGCTCAACTCTGGGGTGCGGCTTCCCCCCGGCCAGGAAGCCGAGACTTGGGAATGCAGCGGCCGCGGCCAGCTTTCTGCAGACACAGCGATCTTCCTCCTGGCGGGGACGGCCGAGCCGGGCCAGGGGCCGCGGGACTGAGGGCCTGGTGGGCCCGGGGCTGCTGCGGGCCTCCAAAGCCCGTTGCTCAGCCTCCTGGGACTGAGGGGCCCGAGCCTGTGCAGGGCGCCAGGGCGGAAGAGGTCAACGTGGTTCAGAATGGGCTGGGGGGGGGGGGGGTGCGCGAGAGAGCGTAGTGTTGGGAAGGCCAGGGGAAGAGATAGAGGGCCAGGAGGGCGGGGAGGCCTGAATGCGGACAGTGTGGCCAGTGTTGGCTGCAGGCCACCAGCGGCTGGAGGTGGGGGAGGGGAGCCCAGCGGGGGGAGGGGAGGGAGGGAAGGGAAGTTCTAAAAAAAAAACCGTTGGGAGTTTCTAGCCCTGGCTTTTGTGAATTGTCCCTCCCCTCCCACTGCCCCCATCACCCCAGCCCCCTTTAGAGTTGAGTTAAATACTCCCCCCCCTCCTTGTAATGAATGCCCTTTGCCACCCTGGGAGCGGAGGGAGGGGTGATCTTGACTGCTCCTGGCAAACTGCCGGCTCAGCACTAGAATTGGGCCTGTCCTTCACTGGCTGGTACACAAAGGCACATGCTGGGCGGGATTTCGTCTCCCTGCTTTTCTGGTAGAGGAGAACTAAAAACTCGGGAGTGGGAAGGGGAGCTCCTTGTTCAGGTCTGCACAGCTGGTGACTTGGGAGTGAGCCTTAGCCCCTGGGGGTGCCCCTCCCACCCAGTGGGTGGCCTCTCCCAGGCTGAGCCTAGGGCATTGGGCCAGGAGGTTGAAGATGGCACTGGCAGGAGCAGGGGAGGAAAACAGTCCGCTTCCATTCCCAGAAAGGTGGCCTGCAGGTGGCCTGAGGCCTTCAAAACTGGACCTGGTGGTGGTGGTGGATCTTCTGGAGTGGGTCTTCAAGGAGGGTGGTCCTAAGAAGAGCCTGGAGCCTGAGGTCAGAAGTTGGACAATGGGACAGAGACAGATGGGTAGGTCAGGAGGAACTTCAGGATGCCCAATCTGGTGCCTGACCCAACAGTGTCTGACACACCCCTCTGGCCCACAGGGGACAGACTCTGTCATTTGCTGAGCAACTCGGACATGCCAGGCACCACTTGAGCGTCTTGTTCCGTTCAGACCCCGAAGGGATTGAGTTTCCCTGGCGGATGAGAGTCTGAGGTTCTGATGGCAGAACAGGTTGTCCAGGGTACGCGGCCACTGCCCTACTCTGTGCTGATTCTAGAACCAAGCTGTCTGCTCCACCATCCCCCAGAGAGGTATCCCACGGCTCCCGGCCCCCGGGCCTCTTGGACACAGGCCTGAGAAGATGTGTCTGGGGCTCAGGAGCTCTCACAGAGGGTCACGGGCCCGGCTTTGAGACAGAGGTGGAGAGTTCCGTAGCTCCAGTTCCCCCTGGCTGCACCGCCTCTTCCTAACGCAGGGCCTCCCTGTCTGTTGGTGCCCAGCACTTCACAAGTGAAGGGTCCTAAAGCCCCTCTCTGAGATCAGGTTCAGGGGAGAGAAAGAAAGCAGGAAGCTGAGATCTTAACCCTGCACACGGGGAGACCCCGACTCCTTTGTGCTTTCTCCAGATGAATCTTTCTAATGGGGCTGAGCCTTGAGCATAGAGGCTGTGACCCACTGAAAGAGAGGGGCACTTGTGTATCTGTCCACCCTCAGAACCTGGTCCCTCCTGCACCAGCCAGCCCCAGTCTCTGGCTCTGGTCTCCCTGGAGTCTACACCCCCTCCCCAACTCAATTTCCTAAGAGCCAAGTTCAGCCCTTCAGTCTTTGTGCTCCATCCTTGGATGCCACTGAGGTGCTTTGGAGCTAAGGTTGACAGATTGAGCACATAAAAATCTAGGATGCCTAGTTAAATTTGAATTTCAGATGGATAATGCACAATTTTTTAGTATAAGTACGCCCCGTGAAATATTGGAGCTATACTAGTAACGAAAAAAAAAAAAGATTGTTATTTATGTGAATTCAGGTGTAACTGAGCATCCTGGACTTTATCTGGAAACCCTGTTTGGATCCTGAATAGTCAAAACGGCCCATCCTTGCCCACAAGGGAGTTTCAGTCCATTAGGAGGGAGACAGTGCAGAGCGCTGAACCCTATGGGTCCTATCAGCGAGGTTATCGTGACATTGCACATGCTGGCGTGGCACAGAATGGTGGCTCGATGACAGTGGGGCCCTCACCTGTGATTTACCGTGGGGGTGGGGTGTGCGTATGCACCTGGACCAAAGAGTGAGGGAAAACCAGAATCAGTCCCTTGTCTTTTGGCCCACCTCGGGCTCCTGAATTAAGGCTCCTCCCCATGCCTGCCCACCCAGAACAGCAACTTCTAGAACATACAGGGAGGGCAGAACCGATCTGCTTGCAGTCCCCTATCCCCTTCCCAGATATCAGTTTCCTTGTCACCTTCAAAGACGCGCTCTGACATGAGAACGAACTGATTAGGAGGGCGTCTTGAGCACTTCTGGAAACCTCCCTAAGTAAATGCACAGGTAATATTTTCACCAGGGAACATTAAACACCCGTGTCAGATCCAAATGCCTTCAAACGACTTCTGGCCAGCAACCTCCCCTTGTCCAAGCGACAGATCCCCAGTGATGTTTACCTCTGAGTCAGCTGCCCTCCCCTCCCTCCGGCTCTCTGTAACCCAGCGGGCACCACCAGCACTCTGCGTTCTGCCCTCATTCCCCACTTGGTGGATTACCCGTTGACCTGGGACCTCATCCTCAGCCCCTGCAGCTTTATCCTGGGTCACCGAGAATGATGTTGGGACAGGAGAGAGGTGGGATGAGGCCCCGTGAGCCTAGCCTGCACTTGTACGGAAGCGAATCCTCATGCTTTTTGAGATAAGTTTCTTCTCTGGTTCCGTGTGATGTTTGCTGCTCATCTGAGAAGGTGAAGCCTCTGAAGAGCAAATCGTACCGAAGGCGGTTATTCTCGGATGCAAGTGTCCGTTTCCTGTGGCCGCAGTGCAGAAATCCACGCCCCATGCCCTCTTGCTCCTCCTCACTTCCCTTTGCAATTAATGATAGCAGCTAACATTGATGGAGTGTTCATTCCGTGGGGGACACTGCAGGGGGATCAGCTCATTTAACTCTCACAGATCTCCAGGAGGTGGGTCCCATCATTGTCCCTGACTCACAGATCATAAAATGAAGGCTCAGAGGCTTGAGTGATCTGTCCAAGGTGAAACAGCCCATGAAGAGGGAAACAGACGGTCTCAGAGCTAGCCTTGTCCGTCTCCAGAGGCCATGTTCCCAGCGCCCAGGGTTCTGCGGGTCCTTCAGAGGCCAGCTCAGGCCCCATCCCCTCCCTGAGGTTGTTCTGGATTATTCCAGCCTTTACCAGGACCGACTGCCTGAAACTCTGCAGTATTTACTGCCTTCCCTGAGTCATTGTCAATCAATTGCACACTGCAACATACATGTATGCACGGGCCTCCATTCTCCAACTAGACAGAGCCTTGAGCACCTGGAAGGTGAGGAGCATGTCTTCGGTATTTTCTGCACAGTTCTTAGATAAATACTTTGGAATCAGACGTCTCGTGTGTATGTGTGTACAGAATTGTGTGTGCATGTGAGAGAGGGAGAGAAAGATGGGGGCTTTGGGACCGTGAAGCTGAGTCCTGCACTGAAAGCCATTAACAGCATCCAGAGACCAAAGAAGGTCCCTGAGCTGCCCCCAGGGGCCTCAGGTTCAGAGGCTGGGGACTCAGGCTGTTGCCTTTCCCCACACACAGCGAGGGCAGACACGTACCCACTCAGCTGCTCTGGGGTCCTGCTGCCCCCTCGCCCATCACCTGATCCATTTGTGAGACTCCAGGTAATTGTGTGGTAATTGAATTTAGGGAAACAGACCCTAAGGATAATCCTGGAGTCAGTTCCAGGAAGACTCATGGTTTAATTTCCATCTTTAGCTAGTGGTACGCATCATACGGTTCCCGCCTCATCCTTCTGTGTTCAGTTTTGACGTTCAGAGGTTCAGAAAGGTAGCAATATGGACATGTGACTCCAAAACATACACACACCCCCGTTCCGT